AAACCCTAAACCCTAAACTCTACACTTAAGACTCTAAGCCACCCAGGAAAAACAACACACACACCCAGGACTTCTGTGTGTCCTATCCTGCACTCGTGGCCGGCATGGACTCCCCGGAGTTCCAGGAGGCCGGGAACAGCCCTGACGGCTACCTTTTTGTGTTGTAAAGTGTGGCCCCGGGGGACAAAGTACTATAAGGGTTCTATATAGGGTTTGGCGTTTAGGGTTTAGGGTCTACTTGGAGGCCCAGGGGACTTAGTAAGTAGGTTATAAGTAGAGTTATAAGTACCATACCTGGAGTTACCCCAAGTATAACCCTACTTTTAACCGACTTACTAGTCCCCTGGGCCTCCAAGTGAGGGCTTAGTTTTTTGGGGTGTAAAGTGGGGCAACCTTGAACCTTGCTTATGGAGGGGTTTAGGGCTTAGGGTCTAGGGTATAGGATTTAGGGGTTTAGGGCTTGGGGGTTTAGGGTTTAGGGTTTAGGGGGCAGTTAGTGTAGGGTTTAGTTTAGGGTCTAGTGGTGAGTATGCAACATTCAACCTCCTTAGGGGTGAGATATTCCGGCTAGAAATTCCGAACGTTGACATTCAGGTCCTCTACTTGGAGGGTCGGGACTTAGTAAGTAGTTATATTTTAATAGAATTATATGAATTAGGTCTGACGTATCCTAAGCCCAATTAGGATCCCTACTAGGTACTTATACGTCTACTTACCACCTACTTACTACGCCCCCGACCCTCCAAGTATAGGATACTGGACAAGTAGGTTCAAGTGTTTAGGGTTTAAGATGAGGAGGTTTTAGTATAGTCGCCTGAAGATTAGTAAGTAGTCCTCAGCGATCCTCACTAGAACAGACTAGAACTATACCATAATGTACGCCCAAACCCGGTGGGTTAGTTACTTGGAGGTTCATGGGCAGTTGTAAGTGGGGTTAAAACTAGGGTCAACCATAACTAGAACCCATACTAGGAGAATTATCACCCCACTTAGAACTACCCATGAACCTTCAAGTAGAAGTAGAGGTAGGTGTACCGCCGTCAAGGTTGTTACGCAGTCGTATCTCGCGTTTTGCGGTACTGCGTTTGTTGCGACAACCCCAACAGCCCTAAGCCACAAATCAGAAACACACCCCTCATCGTCCAAGCATGCCGACACCCTAAACCCTCAACCTAAGCCCTAAACCCCAAGCCCGAAACCCTAAGCCCTTGAACCCTAAGCCCGAAACCCTAAACCCCTGAACCCTAAGCCCCAAGCCCGAAACCCCTGAACCCGAAAACCCGCAGCCCTAAACCCCTGAACCCGAAAACCCGAAGCCCTAAAGCCAGAATCCGGAACCCTTGGCCCTTGCATTGCCCAAAGCCTCAAAGTTGAAAGCCTCAACATCAAATCCTCGAAGCATGCCCGTAGTACTAGTATTGTGGTACATAGTAGTAGTAGTAGTAGTAGTAGTAGTAGTAGTAGCAGCTAGTAGTAGTGGAAACCCCACAACGCCCCAATTAAAATTCTTACCTTATACAAACCGTGCAAAACGTCCCCGACCCAGACACATACCCCCCGACAAAACACCGTGAGAAGCCCTTGAAACTTAAAACCCTTCAATGAACCCAACAGCAAGCTATGCAAACGCCCTTCAAAAACCAAGGCCTCAAAACCCTAAACCCTGCACCGTATACCGTAAACCGCCCGCAACAAAAACAGCAAAGGCGGAACTGGCGATCCAATTTCTCCAGCCTGGGGTCTCCGGGCTGTCCTAATAAAACTCTGATTTCAGGGCTCATCAATTAGGGGTCGAAATATCTAGTAATATTATCCGGTATGTTCCCTATAAAATTAAACTACAATGTCCCCGAAACTATATTCCAACCCTCACGGAGTGTAGTAAGGATATATGTACGGCTTTAAGTGCTTTCGACAGGAGTTTTGTGTATGGGATTTTCGGGTGCGCATGTTTTTTTTTTCCAGTCTTCGAGGTGGGATTACCAAAGAGCTTTGCAGTAATTACAGGTCTCGATAGTTCGCGAGGGTTATTATTGGCAGGATTTGACCGCCATCTGCAGGTCTGTCTACAATTATCATGCATCTGGGGTGGGGGTTTACGAGCTTCAACCTTTCATCCGTGCTTGGAAATTCATGGGTGCATATGTGTTGTCGGCAAGTTAGGCAGCTGCGGCTGCCAGCAGTTGTCGTCCAGTTGCGTTATGTTACAGTACTGGAATAACATGACTCGGGCTCGGGCAAGCAGAGTATTGCGCAAGACCTCGTAGCGCTTTCATTCGGGATGTCGGGTGTGGCTTCTCTTGTTATAAAGGCCTCGTCTCTTCTGAATGAGTTGTGTAGTGCGGTTGTAGTAAGGGGCTTATTTCCAGGTGCCATCCAAGTGCTGTCCGCTGCGGTAATACCAGAAATTTGAAGAATTAGAAACTACAGGAGGGTTGAATCAAAGGGCCAAGACATCATAGGATTAGGCTCCCGGATAAACTGCTTTACTCCTAACCAGCGAGTTAAGATAATGCTCTCGTCTCTTGTTGTGGTTCTACGAAGGCGCGAGTCGTCCTTAGGCACGGGATTATCTGCTTTATATACCAGAAAATACCCCAAAGCCCGATTGTAACTAGTAAAGCTTCTGTATTCACGGAACCCTGAGACCTACAAAACCCAACCGAAGGGACAGTCATTAAACCCACGACAGTAAGACTCTAAGACCGAAACAGAAGCCCCGAAATGGAAGATTCCGGCAAGGAGCGTGCAGAGGCTGAAGGGTTCTCGGCACAACTCCGCGCCAAGCTCCTTCACTGGACGGGACCACGACGAATCTTGTTCTGCAGTAACACCGAGAGCCCAAGTGGTTGGGTTGTTGCTGAAAGGTCTAGTGTGTTTATTTGTTGCAACATTGGGCATTGAAGGTATGTTTGTTTGGCTTGCTATTCGGAGGAGGAATTCATAAGAGACAAAACAAGCATCCTCCCTATTCTGACATAGCAGACCGCCGCGGACATAGCTGCCCCCTCTTCACTGGTTCCCATGACCACGGCTGCGCAAGCCGTCACACTGCCAGCACGATAACATTGAAACCTTCATATTTAGCAATGCCGTTCCTGGGGTTCCTTCTTATATTCAATTACATCATCGTATACCCCCCAGACCTTATTCCAACTACAAGTGTATGCCCCTATTTTAGACAAAGCGCGTCTGAGCTTCGTTCCCCAACGTCGAAGAGTGGTGTTGGCATGAGGTTCGCTTCTGTTCGACAACTGGTTTTATAGGGACCCTACATACGAACATGTGTTCACACGCCTTCAAAAGCCGACCCAGACTAAGATCAAAGGGACTAAAGGAGGGACCCTTAAAGGGACCCTTGGGGTTCTATAGGGGCTTTCTAAGACTATATAAGGGGTATACAAGGGTTATATAGGGTATTAGGATTAGGGGTCCCTCCTATTGTCCAACCCTAAACCCTAAACCCTAAACCCTAACTAAGACCGCCCAAAGGAAAGCCATGGTTGCACTTTCTCTCGATTTCGCGGACCACCTTCGACAACCTCTGGTGGAGTGAGCATGACGAGATGTGCAGCGAGGTCGAGGCTGCTTTAGTGCTTTTAGGCAATATTTTGTTTTTATCATGATAAAGCTCCAGCCAGGGCTAAACCCTACTCGGAGGCCCAGGGGACTTAGTAAGTAGGTTATAAGTAGAGTTATAAGTACCCTAACTGGAGTTACCCCAATTATAACCCTGCTTATAACCGACTTGCCAAGTCCCCTGGGCCTCCAAGTAAACCCCAAGCCCTACGCCCTGAACCCTAAGCCAGGTTGTATGCATGATTGTCCTCAGGGTGCTTACTTGGACAGTCGGGGGACTTAGTAAGTAGTTGTTTTAGAGAGTTATAAGTATCATAACCCCAATTAGGATCCCTTTTAGGGTGCTTATTAGTCTTCTTGTTACCCACTTACTAAGTCCCCCGACCCTCCAAGTAAGGCTGCTTTGTCAGCGAACCGGAGAGTCGGTCTAGATGTATTCTTAATGTGCCAGAAATGTCGCTGTTGACGTGTGTAAGCCTTTTTTCGTGCAGTTATATGTATATATGTATGTGTGTGTATATTATATATATATATGGCTTTGTGGGGGCTTCTTACAGCAATCGATCATGCACAAAAAGCCCTAAAACCAAAGCCCTAAACGCTTGGAGCGAGGAAACCCAGCAGCTTGGGGCGGTCCAAGCTTACAGTTTAGGATTGACTGTGGCGTATTTAGGGGTTTGGGGTTTCAGGGTTTATTTACGGTTTAGAGTTTAGGATTGACTCTGGCGTATTTAGGGGTTTGGGGTTTCAGGGTTTAGGGTTTAGATTTTAGGATTGACTGTGGCGGAGGTTTTGTTTGTGGTTTCGCCTTGTGCGGTGAGTCTCACGTCGGCTCGTGCTTCAAGGTCGTAGTCTTGGTAATTGTAGACGTTCATCACCTCACACCAACCCTAAACCCTAAACCCTAAACCATTGCAGTTCTCATGTTACAGGCCTCAAACGTCAAAGAACCGTGTGATGCCAGGCACAGCGCCAGCAATCGCTGGATGGGCCTCTGCCGTGCCAGTTTGATTGCGCCTCCTTGTAGGAGAAAAGGTGTTCCTCGCTGATAAATCAACAGGGAATTGCCAATGAGCTGTTGCGTGGTGCTCTCTATCGCAACCGCACCACTTTTGGGTTCCTAAATGGTCTTTGAAGCCTCAGCTGCCCACAGTTTAGGGCTTAGGATTTAGGGCTTTGGGTTCCGGAATCTTAGCCGGGAACTCGACCACAACTATTTCCAAGTCACATCGAGGTCGGAATAGTGTGCAATAATGTTCCTTTGTAGCCTTTTTTATTATATTCTAATGCTTTAAAACCAAGTCCGCTTACTAGGGCCCGTGTGTGTGTGTGTATATATATATATATGTGTCCATATATTTCCAAGTTCCGCCCGCGCATCCGGGCGTCAGCTCTCTTAGCTTCAGGAGCTATGACGTGGCTAAGGCTGGTGTAAACGTTTGGGTACCCAAAGACACCAAACCCTACAGTTCGGTTCTTTTGAAGCTTCGGGAAGTGAGGCGTGTGGTGGAGTGCATGGGGCAACAAGACGACGCCGCGGTAGTTTTTCGTTGGTAGAACAGGGTTTTCGGGGGATCTTACCGTATAACTATATATATGTATATATACATATGACGTCATAAGACTATAAGGTATTGTATTTTGTGTGTAGTCGGTTGAGAGCCAGTGATGGCAGACCAAAAGATTAGCAGCGCTCGGAGACATGTGGTCGCGTGTCATAGCGCATAATAGCATTCAATTCTGGGAACCCGGCTGTAACAACCAAACACCATCCTCGCAGCATACCATAGACGATCTAGACCATGGTATAGCCCTAAACCCTAAACCCTAAACCCTAAACCCTAAATCTGAATTATGCCAGGATCTGACAACACATCGTTGGACCATGAAACTATGTGTTTGTGACCATACTGTATGCAATGCGTGACACCAGGTACGTATGCAGCTATGTGTAAGTTATATATACATACATGTACACGTGAGTTTGAATGTCTCATGACATGTCTACGAACGACAGTTGCATTCATATAATACATATGACAGTTGGTTTGTCGACCTGTTCATGTGTACCGTGTACCCAGTTAACACGCGCTATACTGCCGTACCCCATATGGCTGTACATCTAGTTATACACACACACACACATGCACAAGCACGTTATTCGGGAATTTTCGGTCGGACATAAGATCGTTCAACGTCGCATCGCGGCCGGACCCAGTTTTGTGTAGCACGACAGGAAAGCCACGTCAGAACCTGACCAAGGGACTGCTTATATGGGCATAGACCATCTTGTGCAGATCGTACCGATCCGTCGAGACTTGGCCATTTAACTCCTGCGCCGCGATGCCGCTGAACATTCTGTGGACACAGTCGATCTTCCAGCTCCTTCCGAAAGTGGCCCAGACGCAAGAGTGTCATGAACTCTTCGGGTCGGAGAGCTGTGGCGTTCCGTAAAGCTTCTGTGTGGGTAAAGGCAAGCCCATGTGGTGGCCTACGTCGACCTACCTTGTCTTTTGCCGAGTCCTTCAACTGATCACTGCAAGTTGTCGCAAGTTGCCAGGCCCTGAAGCATTCCCTAAACCCGAAACCCAAGACCTAAACCTGCAGCTCTAAACCCTGAGCTCTGAGCCTTAAGCCCTCAACTGCCCTAAGCCCCCCTAAACCCTAAACCCTAAACCCTAAACCCTAAACCCGAAGCATGTGTTCTGCCATGAGCGGAAGTCTGCTTCAGGTGGGGCCTCGGACGGTTGCCTCTCAGCTGAATTTTTGGGTTTGAAGCCCGGATGCTCGGGACTATGGCTTGGTGTTCTTCTGGTTGGCTCTTAGGACTTTTAACTTTTTGGGTTTCTATATGAACCGGTTTAGGGTTTAGGGTTTAGGGTTTAGGGTAAATGTTTAACTTTTTGGAGGGGTTCAGAACTCAGCATCTTGGGACTTCAAAGCTTAAAGATTCTAATCCTTAAGGCCCCTTATATAGAACCTTATCATAGATCCCTTATAGAACCCTTTAAGTATCTCTTTAAAGGAACCCTATAATATAAAACCTTATCATAGATCCCTTATAGAACCCTTTAAGTACCCCTTTAAAGGAACCCTATAATATAAAACCTTATCAAGATCCCTTATAGAACCCTTTAAGTATCCCTTTAAAGGAACCCTATAATATAAAACCTTATCATAGATCCCTTATAGAACCCTTTAAGTACTCCCTTTAAAAGAACCCTATAATAAAGAACCTTGTCATAGATCCCTTATAGAACCCTTTAAGTACTCCCTTTAAAAGAACCCTATTCTTTCGGGCTAGGGCACTTTAGAAGGGACCTATGGTAGAAGCCCAAAAGTTGGAAACCCAATAGCCTCAATCCTTAAGAGAAATGCAGAGGGAATCCCAGCACTAATTGGCCTTACTCCGGTTTCCAACTTTTTGGGGTTTACTTTATGGCACTTCGGACCTCGCTGCGGATCGCAGTGACTCTTCTAACCTTCCGTAGGGATGGGGAAGCCAGGAGTCTCCAGTGATTCCAGGGGGGCTAGGGTAATAAAGGGGTTTAGGGTTTCGGGTTTAGGGTTTAGGGTTTAGGGATTAGGGTTTAGGGTTTACTTATCTATATTTATGGGGTTCCCTGTTTTCCTTTTAGTATGATGGGCCCCAAAACCCTATTCTAATTATAAAGGCCCATACATTACTCAGGATTGATGATCTGTCAGTGGGGAATCGGCTGCGCCGGTTGGGACTGGTCCAGGATAGGGGCTTTCAGAACTCGAGCAGGGTTTGGGGTTTTTGATCGTCTAATTTTGTGGAGGGCTATCAGCGGTCATGAGCGGTGATGGTGTAGGCATGACTCAGGCAAAGCGGGAGACAGAGAGAGAGAGAGAGTGAGTGAGTGAGTGAATGTAATACGTTATCCTCCTAAACCCGAAACCGAAAACCCTAGCTGAAGCCTAAGCCCCTAAGCCCTAGCCCTCAAGCCAAAGCCCTAAACCCTAAACCCTAAAACAGAGACAAAATCATCGCACGCAAATGTGCCTGCCACTTTACCATGGCCTACTACAGCTTCCGCACCCGGAGCCAGATGATATGATAGGAAGTACCTATAGTCTCCATTGTAGTTCCTTTTTGGGGATACCTTATAAAAACCTTAATATATAATTGGTTAAACCAAACAAAGGAACTACAATGGAGACTATAGGTAAGGCGACCCTAAGCCCCTAAACCCGAAGCCCCTAAACCTTAAACCCTAAGCCCCTAAACCCTAAGCCCCTAAACCCTAAACCCTAAGCCCC